TCTCTCTCTCTCTCTCTCTCTCTCTCTCTCTCTCTCTCTCTCTCTCTCTCTCTCTCTCTCTCTCTCTCTCTCTCTCTCTCTCTCTCTCTCTCTCTCTCTCTCTCTCTCTCTCTCTCTCTCTCTCTCTCTCTCTCTCTGTCGATATCTTTGCTAAAGAAAAAGCAACTCCAAATTCATCAGAGAAAGTATCATTGAAATTAAAGTCACGAATTGTGTGTGAAATATTGTATCGTATTGTATACATTTTTGTTTAAATTACATATTCTCTCTATAAATAGCAGTAATCTCACATGGAAAAAAAGATAATGTGAAAATTGAAATTAAATATCTAAATCCGCGGCAATACAAGTAGCATGCGTATCATATAGTAACTGGTTATCAAATTGAACAATCAAACCATTCAGTTAATTATCTGGCAATGGCGCGTACATCTATTTTTAATAATACTGATTATTCCGCGATATTCACATATACAATTATTATTATAATATTATATTATATTACAATTACTATTATAATATTATATACAATTACTGTTGAATTATACACGAGACACATGTATTATTCTGCACTACTGCTCTACTTTACGTCACAATGTAGCAATGATAAGTAATGCATAATTATTCAATCAAATAATATAAAAAAGAACTTCTATTAACTGGAAAGGTAATGTGAAAAACTTGATGCATTTCCAAGTTCATTGTTATGTAGATATTAAAAATTTATAAGTAAATATATTTTAGTACAGTATAAATACATTTTAACAAGAGATAAATTATTAATAGCCGGAAACGTTATCTAGCATTAAATTGAATATATCTAGCAGGCGAGAAATTTCAATTGATCAAGTCAATCTTTTATCAGTATCGGTAATTATAACAGTCGTCGTTTTTCATTGATAATAATCAATGGCAATGAGTCATAAATTTAACGCTATAGATAAGACGCTTTAACGAGACATCGGAAAATCAGTTAATAAAGTATTTAAACATCTATTTGATGAGGTCCAAATTTCTTTTCATTGATCACAACAGCGTGCTGCAAATTTGGAGAAATCGCGAGTGTTCTCTTAAACGTATTCCAAAACACCGCACCTTGAACTCGACAGGGAGGGTCATGGACACTTTTTTGGAACATAAGATCGCTCACGGGGAAGGGCACAGCGACGTTGGAAGACTTTCTCGGCAACCTGCCGTATATAGCAACGTGTCAATATATCCACGTGCACTACGAAGATGGTAATAACCGCGATGAGAACCAGTTATATGACGACGGCGGTCACGCGAGTTCCGTAAATCATGAGAGAGAATCTTCCATCACACGCCCAAGAGCAACATATCCATATCCATTCTGTTCGTCCGCTCATCAGTCTGCGTTACCGTCATTCGCGTTTATTACGTGATTCTCCAAGGCCGTCTTCCAACCTGCGCCTAGAGTTCTCGTACTTGCCTGTGTCTTCTCGTTGTTATTATACACGCACGTGGAATATTTCGTTCGGTTCGGTAACGACGATATATTTCTTGATCGGTGTGCCTTTAACTATGCGATCATCAATGTAATCAGTGACTAGCAAGGTACTATGTGAAATTTTCCTGCTTTCACGACTGTCGCGACTTGCATCCGCAAAATTGCACGCATAATCAAGATTATAGGGCACATACAGGTAGATAATTAAATGAACCGAGCGAAGCGCACTTTATCAAACATCCACACGTAGCGCCGGTAACACGGCTAATCAAATATCTGTTACATGCCAGTTATGTGAGCAACTTTCGAGGAAGTAATATCCTCGGCGTACTACGTCTCATCTAAATCCACCGTAATTAGCACCGTATACGCACCGTATACGCACAATCTGTATATAATTATTACCTTTCCGTTCCGATACAGCCGATATAGATAATTGAAAGATAATATCCAGAAAAATTTGCATGTTTCGTTACTTCGCATTGATAATTATAGTAATCTAACGATTACTGTGATATAAAAAAAAATACTGATAGAAGTTTTATAAATAAAATTGATCAGCTAAATTTACTTTTTCTCATATATATTTTTATAGTATTGTTAATTATTATTAATATTTTTCCTTATTATAATATTTTTAAAAATATTTTTGAAAGAAAATTAAATTAATCAACATTATCAATAATCTGATTACATCTTTCGTTCTCTCGATGTAAAATCTAGATGTAACGACGTACGTATGATATACGCATACAAAATGTTGTTTCGATGCGTGACGCGTCATAGGAAGAAAATACTATGAAACATGTTCATTGTAATCGCAAGGAAACGATTACGTCAGAGAAAGCATGAAAAGAAACGCGTGATTCGATCGTTTGAACAGTGGGAAATGATTTCGTCAGACGATCATGCCAGAAGTAACTACTCTCAGTTGTGCTCATTTTCTTCAACTCCGTCATCGGATTTTTCTTTCTTAAACCTGTTTTACGTTTTCATCTTAATGTCATTATTTCCGTATTTGTTTAACCGCGTGTGAATTTCCGTAAAATTTTTCATTACTTTCCCTACGTGCGTCATGAAAGGAGGAGCACAGACGCATCGTAAAAATAATAGATTCAGTACGGTACAATGTAACAGCGGATACTGTTACATGACTTTTTTCTCGCGCACCGTTGCACTCTGGAAGTGCATTTCCATTTCCTCGACAAGATTGATTTCGCTGAGATCCCACCGATTTTCGCAAAATAATTTCATAATTGCAAGTTCAGTGTGTTAAAATGTTATAAGAAAATGAAAGAATTCAAAATCCGATTTTCGGAAAATACATTTTGATAACAGAAAGAGCAAGAAAGAAGAAATAATCTATGATATAACGTCGGCTTTGAGTCGTAATAATTTCTTCGTAACAATTGCCCCCTCTCCCCTCCTCTATCTTTTTAATTCTCTTAACAATTAATTGTTCCCTCTCCCCGCGCTCTTCAATTTTCTCCGACATGGAAATATTCTTTGTCTATTTTGATTTCTAGGCGTTCCAAGTCTATTGTTTGCCAAGTGAGAGTCACTTTTTAGTATCGTAATTCTATGTTTCAAATGGTACCGTTTACGAGACAACAGTACAAACTGAAAGTTATGACCCCAAAAGTCCAAAGAAGTCGACTCTTATACATACAAATCGCGTATTTTCCTTCCTATAAAAGTTATTTTTATGAAACGAAGAACATCAAGAAGCTTCTGAATGGGATCGTAAACTGTGAGAATCAATTCTTAAGTGACTTCTTTCTCAACTTCATTTACACATTATTCCAAATATACATAAGACGCACGTGTATCTTGCTTGCAATTATATTTTTATAAAGAATTTCTTACGGGTCAGGTCGTTTGACAGAAAGAAATAAAACGCACATCTCGCTTCTTTTCTCGTACGATCCAAGTTGGCGAAGGTGGCTGACAAATAGCGGCTGACTATCATAAGATGATAATGCTTATGAGTACGTCTCTCATTTCTTCTTCAATTCTCCGTGTAATGGCACCGCTCAGCGGCGGAGTACTTAAATGTCCATTATACTTTCGTGTATTCATATCTTGATGTTACATCTTTCCTTCAAGTCTTTTCCTTCAAGCAACATTTCTATAGGTAGGCAGCGCAGCTTTGTGTCGCAAATACTGCTACTTCATTTACATACAAAGAGGCTGGATTACACGCAGCCATGTTTCGGCTCATAGAAAAGTGGCGATTACTTCCACGGTCCGCTATATATCGCATTACGCAACTCCTTCTGTGGCGCAAAACATTTCGTCGCACAAATTCCTCTATTCACAATTCGATCTTCTTACCACAGAGGCCTCAACGATGACGGACGCATAGTTAATAGAGCGACGCTTCGTG